GTACAATGCAGCACCATCACTTACCATCACCATCACCGCTAACCAACTAATCACTGCAATTTGGGCCAAAATCCACCGATAGGACTTAGGTTCATTCATCCGTTTACGGCATCACCTACCAATCTGGTCTAAATGCACCTACGCATACTCAATCACACGCATTTAGGATCCTAACCGAAAATCAATCCCAATTCAAAAGCCAATTCACGGCAATTTTAGGCCAATTCATAACGGCCATATATGCGCGCCTTTAGACAGAAACTAATCACACGCGCCAATCACGCTAACCAATCACCTGACCCAAGATATCCCTCTTCTCCCAAAACCCAATCCCTCCAATCAAACACTAACCAATCAATACAGGCCCAATCACTAACCAACCAATCCCTCAATCACCACTAAACACCAGAGGACGGCACTTGGAGATCTCGTAGAGGACCTGTCGGCGCGGGCGAGGTTCTCGATCTCGTCGGCGTGTTCCTCCAGCATGACCTTCTCCCGGCGGTGGGCGTGAACTTGAGAAGCTGCTCCACCATGTCGGGCGCCAACTCCCCGTCGCTGTCCATCTTGAGGAGGACCCTGGGGCGTGGGGGGGGCGTGGGCGGGCGTGGGCGTGGGCGGGGTGGGCGGAGTGGGCGTGGGCGGGGTGGGCGGGGTGGGCGGGGATGTCGTTTTTCATTAGCATCTTCATTATCGTCATTACTATCATTGTGATCATTCTTATTATCATGACTTTCATTATTATTGTCGTTATTATCATTTTTATCATTATCATCTTTATTTATTATTATGACTCATTTTATCGATTATTTATCATTACTATCATGTCATCTTTATTATATTATTACTATCATCATCATCTTTATTATTATATTACTATCATTATCATCTTTATTTTATCTTATCATTACTATCATTATCATCTTTATTATTATTATTACTATCATTATCATCTTTATTATTATTATTACTATCATTATCATCGTCGTCATTATTACCATTGTTATAAAAATCATCATTATCACTAGTATTACTATACTAAAAATGAAACAAATGAAGTTTCTTGGATAACCTGTTCCAGCACTTTTTTCCTTGCCAGCACTGGACGCAGATTTCCTCCTGGGTTCAGATCTCTGCGCCACCTATTTCAGTCGCAAATTCTACTTCGAAACCACTCTCCTCTCCTTCCTCCTCTTCCCAACTTCCCCCCCTTCCTCCCTCCTTCTTCCTACTTTCTCCCTTTACTTCCTTCTCCCACTCTCCCCTCCCTCCTTCCCACTCTCTCCCTTCTCCAAACCTCCCCAAGCCTCTTCTCCTCCCGCAAACCTTCCCCCCTCCTCTCCCAGGCCTGTCACCTTTCCAACCCGTCTCTCTCTCCCCATGCCCTCCCACCTTCTCCCTCGCCTCTCTCTCTCTTCCTCCCCATGCCCCCCCCCCCCAGCCCTCGCACCTCTCCCTCCCCTCGCCTATCTTTTCCATGCCCTCACCCTAACCTCCCCTCTCCCCCCAGTACTCCTCCCTCTCCTCTCTTTTCCGTAGCCCCTCTCACCTCTCCCTCTCTTTCCCCATGCCCCCCACCCCTCCTTCCTCTCCCTACCCCTGCCTCTCTCTCCCTATGCCCCCCTCCTCCTCTCTCTCTCTCCCATGCCCCCCTCTCTGTCCGCTCTCTGTCCCCCATGCCCCCCCAGCCCCCCCCCCTATAGCACCTCCCCCTTCTCTTCTCCCATGCCTCTCAAAACCCTCCTCTCTCCCCCAGCAATCTCTCCCTATCCTCTCCCTCATAGCCCCCCCCTAGCCCTTCCCATCTCTCTTTCCCGTAGCCATCTCCCTCTCCCTCTCTCTCCCTATGCACCTCAGCCCTCCCCTTCTCCTCCCCCTCCTCTCTCTCCCATGCCGCCCAGCTTCTCCCCTCCCTCTCCCCACCCCTACTCCCCTTCTTTCCCCCATGCCCTCCCCCCTCTCTCTCCTTCCCCTCCCTCTCTCTCCCCATGCCCCCCCAGCCCTCTCCCCCTCCCCTCCTTCTCTCTCCCATGGCCCCATGGGCCCCCAGCCCTCCCTTCTCCCTCCTCCTCTTCTTTCCCCCATGCCCTCCCCCCTCCCTCTCTCTCTCCCTAGCCCTCCTTTCTCCCTCCCTCCCTCCCTCTCTCTCTCCCCATGCCCCCCCCTCCTCTCCCTCGCTCCCTCTCCTCTCATGCCCCCCCAGTCCTCACCTTCTCCTCTCCTCCCTCCTCCCTCCCTCCCCTTCTCCCTCCAGTCTCCCCCTCCCCTCTCCTCCCCTTCTCTCCCTCCCCTCCCTCTCTCTCTCTCCCCATGCCCCCCTCCCCCATCCCTCCCTTCTCCCTCACCTGATGAGTCCGTCGTTGGTCATCTTGAGCTTGGACAGCAGGATGGTGCAGTTCTGCTGGCGGCGGTTCTCCAGGACGCTCAGCTGCGCCCGGTGGGATTTCATCCTCTCCAGCGTCTTCTCTCGCCCTGGGGAGTGGGGGGAGGAGAAGGGGAGGAAGGGGAGGAGGGGGGGGAAGGGGGGAGGAGGAGGAGGAAGGGGAGGTGGAGGGGGGAGGAGGAAGGGGGAGGAGAGGGGAGAGGAGGGGGGAGGAGGAAGGAGGAGGAGGAGGAGGAGGAGGAGGGGGAGAGGAGGAAGAAGAAAGGAGTGGAGGAGGAAGTAGAAAAGGAGGAGAAGGAGAAGGAGAAAGAGGATGAAGAAAAGGAGGAGGAGAAGGAAGGGAGGAAGAAAAAGAGGAGGAGGAAGGGGAGGAAGAAAGGGAGGAGGAGAGAAGAAGAAGAAGAGAAGAGGAAACACGGGGGGATGGGGGACAGAAGAAGGAAGAGGAGGGGCATAAGGGGGGAGGTGGAGGGCGGGTCACGGAAGAGGAGAAGAGGAAGTGAGTGGGGGGAGGGGGAGGGGGGAGGGCTCATATTTAATAATCAATTGTTTGGTAAACGAATGAAAATAATATATCCAATATTCATGCAAATTTACACTTTCTCTCTCTCTCTCTCTCTCTCTCTCTCTCTCTCTCTCTCTCTCTCTCTCTCTCCTCTCTCTCTCTCTCTCTCTCTCTCTCTCTCTGCTCTCTCTAACACACACACAACAAACTCTCTCTCTCTTCTCTCTCTCTCTCTCTCTCTCTCTCTCTCTCTCATTCTCTTCTCTCTCTCTCTCTCTCTCTTCTCTCTCCTCTCTCTCTCTCTCCTCTCTCCTCTCCTCTCTAACACACAACACTCTCTCTCTCCTCTCTCTCTCTCTCTTCCTCTCTCCTTCTCTTCTCTCCTCCTCTCTTCTTTCTCATCTCTCTCTCTCTCTCTCTCTCTCTCTCTTCTCTCTCCAAACACAACACACACACACACAACACACAACACACACAACACACACACACACACAACACACACACACACAGTTACACACATCACACCACACAACAAATTCTCTCTCCTCTCTCTCTCTCTCTCCTCTCTCTCTCTCTTCTCTCTCTCTCTCTCTCTCTCTCTCTCTCATCTAATAACACACACACACACACCACACACACACACACACACACACACCACACAACTCCACACACACACACACACACACACACACACCACACATCACACACACACATCTCTCACTCTACTCTTCTCTCTCTCTCCTCTCCTCTCTCTCTTCTCTCTCTCTCTTCTCCTTCTCCTCTCTCTCTCTCTCTCATCTCTCTCTCTCTCTAACACACACACAACCACACACCATACACAACACATCACACACACACACACACACACACACAATCAACACACACACACACAGCACACACACACACACACACATACTTCATCTCTACTCTCTCTCTGCTCTCTCTCTCTCCTCTCTCTCTCTCTTCTCTCTCTCTCTCTCTCTCTCTCTCTCTCTCTCTCTCTCTTCTCTCTCTCTCTCTCTCTCTCTAACACATCACACACACACACACACACACACACACACACAAACATCACACAACACCACATCACCACACACACCACACACACACACACACACACAACTCACCTCACTCACTCACTGCACTACTACACTTCACTTCAGCTCAACTCAGCTCACTCACTTCATCTCACTCCACTCACTCACTCACTCCTCACGTACTCACTTCACTCACTCATCATCTCTCTCTCTCTCTTTTCCGATTTTTTTTGCTCTCTCTCCTCTCCTTCTCTCTCTTCTCTCTCTCTCTAACACTCTCCTCTCCATCTCCCCTCACCCCTCCTCCTCCCTCTCCTCTCTCTCTCTCCCTCTCTCTCTTCTCTCTCTCTCCTCTCTCTCTCTCCTCTCTCTCTCTCTCTCTCTCTCTCTCTCTCTCTCTCTCTCTCTCCTACTCCCGCGTTGGCCTTCTTCCCGGCGGCGGCGTCGAAGGTCTTTGTCGATGTCTCGAGGTCCATAAACTTGTAGAGCGGCGACTCGTCCAGCGTGGCGAAGATGGTCCGGAGACGCGTGAGTCGGGCATCTTGGACCAGTTGAAGGCCCGCAGCTGCGTCGCCGACTTGGGGATCTGGAGGAGTAAGATTTTAAGATTTAGTTTTAATTCCATTTGTTACAATGGATATTCTTTTGCTGTGACATACTGTCTGTTTTATTTTGCCTTCTAAATCTCCCCCTGTGTGCAAGGAGTGGGCGGGGATACCACTCACTGGCCGGGCGTGGGATTGAACGCAGGTCCGCAAGATTGCTAGACCAGCACCTTACCGCTGCGCCAACACAGCACAGGAGGGCGGAGGAGGAGGGGGGTTAGAGGGGCCGGGGCGCGACGGGAGGGCGGAGGAGGGGGTTAGAGGGGCCGGGGCGCGACGGGAGAAGGGGGTGGGGGGGTCCGGCTGGCGAGGGGACGCCCGGGGACTTGGGGCTGCGAGTGTGGCATTTTGCAAGGGCGGGCGGAAGGACTCACCTGCTTGGCGGGGCGCGCTGGCTTAGCCTGCGGGGGCGGAGGGGGCCCGCCGGCCCGGGGAGGAGGCGGGGGCCCTCCGTTCATCATGGGCGGGCGGAGGGGGGCCTCCCTTGAGCAGAGGGGGCGGCGGGGGCGGCCCTCCGTTCATCATGGGCGGCGGCGGGGAGGCGGCGCCCGTTGAGCATCGGCGGCGGAGGCGGCGGCGGGCACGGCGCTCCGGGGGGCGTCGCCGGTGTCCTGGGCGGGGGAGAGAGGGGGGGAGGGGAGGGAGAGGGAGAGAGAGAAGGAAAGGTAGAATGGAGAAATTGTTAAAAAGCGAAAAGAAAAAAAACAAATTAGTTCCTCTGTTTACAAACAAAAACAACAATAAAAGACCGCGCTATTATATGGCATCAAATCACGGTCATTTAGCACAAATTACTTCACAGAGTAGCAATAAACACTCGGATGCGTGCATGTGCGTGTGTAAGTGTACGTCTAGTGTGTGTGTGTGTGTGTGCGTGTGTGTGCGTGTGTGGTGTGTGTGTGTGTGTGTGTGTGTGTGTGTGTGTGTGTGTGGTGTGTGTGTGTGTGTGTGTGTGTGTGTGTGTGTGTGTGTGTGTGTGTGTGTGTGTGTGTGTGTGGTGTGTGTGTGTGTGTGTGTGTGCGTGTGTGCGTGTGCGTGTGCGTGTGCGTGTGCGTGTGCGTGCGTGTGCGTGTGCGTGTGCGTGTGCGTGTGTGTGTGTGTGTGTGTGTGTGTGTGTGTGTGTGTGTGTGTGTGTGTGTGTGTGTGTGCGTGCGTGTGTGCGTGCAAGCGGGCTACCTTCGCCGAGGCGATGGATGCTTGGCGTCGTCCGAGAGCGCCCCTGCGGCCAGCTCCTGCATCTGGCGCGTGAGCTGCGCGGCGCGGGCCTCCAGCTCCGCCTTGGCCTGCTGCGCCTCCGCCACGGCGCGCACCTCGCCCTCCAGCTGGCTCCGCACCTGCTGCAGCGTCTGCGCCAGCTCGTCCTGGGGGTGGGGGGGGGTCGTTAGAGTTTTTGCTTTCTTTTCTTCTTTATTCCGTACTTGCGTTCATCCGGTCCCGCCCACTCGCCGCCGCCCGCGTCCTCCGTCTGCCGTCCCGTCCCGACGCCCTCGCGCCCACGCCCTAGCCTTCCGACCGCTGCCTCCTATTCCTCCCTCCAATCCCTTCATTCTCTCCACACCCTCCCTCGCTCTCTCCCTCCACCAAACCTTCCCTCCTTGCCCTCCCTCCCATCCCTTCTCGCCCCTCTTGCCCTCCCTTCCCTCCCTCCCTTCCTTACTCCCCGCCCTTTCCTTCTCCCTCCCTCCTTGCCCTCCCTTCCTCCCTGCTCCTTTTCCTCCCCCCTTCCCTCCTTGCCCTCCTTCCCTCCTCCTAGCCCTCCCCGCCTCCTCCCTCTCCCTCTCCTTCTAAGCCTCCCCCCTGCCCTCCTGCCCTCCCTTCCCTCCCTCTTGCCCTCCCTCCTCCCTCCGCCCTCCCTTCCCTCTTGCCTTCCCCCTCCCCCCTCGCCCTCCACCCCCCCCCTTTCCCTTCCTCCCCCTCCCTTCCCTCCCTCCTAGCCCTTCCTCCCTTCCCTCCCTCCCTTCCCTCCCTCCCTCCCTCCCTCCCCTCCTCCCTTCCCTCCCTTTCCCTCCCTCCTGCCCTCCCCCCTTCCCTCCCTTCCCTCCCTTAGCCCTCCCTTCCCTCCCTTCCCTCCCTCCCTTCCCTCCCTTCCTCCCCTCCCCCTCCCTCCCTTGCCCTCCCTCCCCCTCCCCCCTTCCCTCCCTTCCCTCCCGCCGCCTCACCTTCTCCTGTGACGTCTTTGAAGAGTTCCTGCTCCTTCCGGTTGAGGTGTCACGACGTCGGCGAAGTCACCCTCCAGCTTCGTGATCTTCCGCCGGCTCTCCGTCAGCTCGCGTTCGTTGGCGATTCTGGGGGGGGGGGAGGGAGGGAGGGAGGAGGGAGGGAGGGAGGGGGAGGAGGGAGGGAGGGAGGGAGAAGGAGGGAAGGAGGGAGGGAGGGAGGGAGGGGGAAGGAGGAGGGAGGGAGGGAAGGAGGGAAGGGGGGAGGAGGAGGGAGGGAGGGAGGGAGGGAGGGAGGGAGAGAGAGAGAGGAGAGAGAGAGAGAGAGAGAGAGAGTGAGGGGGGAGAGGGAGGAGGAGGAGGAAGGTGATGGAGAAGGTAGTGGAAGGGGGAGGGAGGGAGGAGGAAATGAGGAGGGGTGTAAGAGGGTGAGGGAGAAGGAAAAGGGGAGAGGAAAGGGAGGAAGTGGAGGAGGAGGGAGGAGGTGGAAGAGGTACAGGGAAGGTAGTGGAAGGGGGAAGAGGAGGAGAGGAAGTAAAAGTGAGGAAGAGAGAGAGAGAGGAGGAGGGAGAAAGAGAGAAGGAGGAGGGAGGAGGGGGGAAGAGAGAAGAGAGGAGAGGAGGAGGTGGAGAGAGATGGGAGGGATGGAGGAAGAGGGTAAAGGGAGAAGTAGGAAAAATGAGAATGAGATGGGACGAGGAAGAAAGATTAGGAAGATTAGAATCAAATCATATAAAAAAAAATCCTTATGCTTATAGAAATAAGTATCAAATGTCTACTCACAAGTTCTCGTTCAAATTCATGAGGAAATTCCACGAATAACAACAAACAAAGGAAGAAAATGCTTGGGACAAACGAGGCAAATTAGCCCCGCGCTCCTTCAGAACAAACAGTAAAAACAAAAACTAACAAATTAAAGCATTTAACAAGCATTTAAAAAGAAAAGAAAAATAACAAGCATTTAAAAGAAAGAAAAAAATAACAAGCATTAAAAGAAAGAAAAAATAACAAGCATTTAAAAAAAAGAAAAAAATAACAATTTAAAAAGAAAAGAAATAACATGTAAAAGAAAAGAAAAATAACAAGCATTTAAAAGAAAAGAAAAAGAAAAAAAATAACAAGCATTTAAAAAAGAAGAAAAAATAACAAGCATTTAAAAAGAAAAGAAAAATAACAAGCATTTAAAAAGAAAAGAAAAAAAATAACAAGCATTTAAAAAAGAAAAGAAAAAATAACAAGCATTTAAAAAGAAAAGAAAAAAATAACAAGCATTTAAAAAGAAAAGAAAAAAAATAACAAGCATTAAAAGAGAAAAAATAACAAGCAAAAAAAAAACAAGCATTTAAAAAGAAAAAACAAAAAATAACAAGCATTTAAAAAGAAAAGAAAAATAACAAGCATTTAAAAGAAAGAAAATAACAGCATTTAAAAAAGAAAAGAAAAATAACAAGCATTTAAAAAGAAAAGCAAAAAAGAAAAGAAAAATAACAAGCATTTAAAAAAAGAAAAAATAACAAGCAAAAAAGAAAAGAAAAAAATACAAGCATTTAAAAAGAAAAGAAAAGAAAGAAAAGAAAAATAACAAGCATTTAAAGAAAAAAAAATAACAAGCATTTAAAAAGAAAAGAAAAAATAAAAGAAAAAAGAAAAGAAAAAATAAAAGCATTTAAAAAGAAAAAAAAATAACATTTAAAAAAGAAAAAATAACAAGCATTTAAAAAGAAAAAAAAACAAACAAGCATTTAAAAAGAAAAGAAAAAAATAACAAGCATTTAAAAAAGAAAAGAAAAAATAACAAGCATTTAAAAAGAAAAGAAAAATAACAAGCATTTAAAAAAGAAAAGAAAAAAAATAACAAGCATTAAAAGAAAGAAAAAAAAACAAGCATTTTAAAAAGAAAAGAAAAAATAACAAGCATTTAAAAAGAAAAGAAAAATAACAAGCATTTAAAAAGGAAAAGAAAAAATAACAAAGCATTTAAAAAGAAAGAAAAAATACAAGCATTTAAAAAGAAAAGAAAAAATAACAAAGCATTTAAAAAGAAAAGAAAAAATAACAAGCATTTAAAAAGAAAAGAAAAAATAAAAGCATTTAAAAAGAAAAGAAAAAATAACAAGCATTTAAAAAAAAAGAAAAAATAACAAGCATTTAAAAGAAAAGAAAAAATAACAAGCACATTTTAAAAAGAAAAGAAAAATAACAAGCATTTAAAAAGAAAGAAAAAAAATAACACATTTAAAAGAAAAGAAAAAATAACAAGCATTTAAAAAGAAAAGAAAAAAATAACAAGCATTTAAAAAGAAAAGAAAAAAATAACAAGCATTTAATAACAAAGCATTTAAAAAGAAAAGAAAAACAAGCATTTAAAAAGAAAAGAAAAAATAACAAGCAAAAGAAAAGAATAATAACAGGCAGTGTAAAAGAAAAAAAATAACAGGCATGTAAAAGAAAAGAAAAAATAACAAGCAATTTAAAAAGAAAGAAAAAATAACAAGCATTTAAAAAGAAAAAAAAATACAAGCATTTAACAAGCATTTAAAAGAAAAGAAAAAAAAAATAACAAGCATTTAAAAAGAAAAGAAAAAATAAAGCATTTAAAAAGAAAAGAAAAAACAAGCATTTAAAAGAAAAGAAAAATAACAAGCATTTAAAAGAAAAGAAAAAATAACAATCATTTAAAAAGAAAAAAAAATAACAAGCATTTAAAAAGAAAAGAAAAAATAACAGCATTTAAAAAGAAAAGAAAAAATAACAAGCATTTAAAAAGAAAAGAAAAAATAACAAGCATTTAAAAGAAAAGAAAAATAACAAGCATTTAAAAAGAAAAGAAAAAATAAACAAGCATTTAAAGAAAAGAAAAAATAAAAGCATTAAAAGAAAAGAAAAAATAACAAGCATTTAAAAAAAAGAAAAAAAATAACAATTTAAAAAAAAGAAAAAAATAACAAGCATTTTAAAAAGAAAAGAAAAAATAACAAGCATTTAAAAGAAAAAAAAAATAACAAGCATTTAAAAAGAAAAGCAAAAAAGATAACAAGCATTTAAAAAGAACAAGAAAAAAATAACAAGCATTTAAAAAGAAAGAAAAAAGAAAAAAAAAAATAACAAGCATTTAAAAAGAAAAGAAAAAAATAACAAGCATTTAAAAAAAGAAAAGAAAAAATAAAGCATTTTAAAAAGAAAAAAAAAATAACAAGCATTTTAAAAAGAAAGAAAAAAATAAAAGCATTTAAAAAGAAAATAACAAGCATTTAAAAAGAAAAGAAAATAACAAGCATTAAAAAGAAAAGAAAAAATAACAAGCATTTAAAAGA